CAAGCATTCTAGATAAATTTTTAAATTGAAGCACGACTATTTGGTAACTCACGTTAACGAAATACATTTTTACTAGTTTGATATACTATACAAACTGAAATATGTTGTTAAAAATAAAAATGTTTAGCAAACAGGTTTTCAATAATTAAGATCCATATATTGGTGGCGCAAAATATATTTTCGAACGTGTAAATTATTACACATGATGATTCGAACTGAATTCACTTCAAAAATTCATATTGGATGGTTTGGTTTTTGTGTGCATCACACAATATAAATTATCAATTTAACTTTTTATGAAATTTTTAAAATTAATTACAAAAAGGACACTTCAACTAGAAAGGTAAAAATGTAAATTTAAAATTTGCTTATAAAATTTCAAATTCGCAAATTGTTATAAAAATGTTTTTTTTTTTACAATTTAAATACATCTCCCGAACTAGTTCGGGACTTATTAGCAATTTTACATGTGACAGTACGTTATATATTGTTCGACGTGAAGAATTTGAACATTTTACAATAACAATTAAACATTTGAAATAGAAGAAGATAATGACGAGATAATTATTGATCTAAACATATCGTATCAACTAAAGTGGAGTAAAAATGTCGAAATGTTTTAAAAACTGAAGTTTTAGTACATTCATTGCGTAATATCCCGCTGGTTCGCACTCGCCAAATATATATATTTAAATTGGATTTACCGTTACGAGCCCGAGGTCTCTCCTCGTTTACATTTATCTCTTTTTACATCATCATTGTTAATTAATGAGACTACTTTGTACAAACTACAGAGACAACAAAATTTATAATGGATCTTACTTTTCTACACAAAAGCGCAAGAAAAGCAGACGCAAAAGCCAACCGTTCCGGCGCCGGTAATAATTTCGTGAGAACCACATGTGACGCGCATGAAATACGAGTCCGCGCCAATTAAGTTGTTTGCTCGCGTACCAGTTGCTATATCTCCGCGCAAATAATTCATTAACGAATGTCGGAGTGGAAGGGGTATCGCGCGCACGGTTGGATGAACTGCCCGACGGAGTCAGCAGGTGGTTTAAAGTCCGCCGAAGTCTACTTTAAGCTTCTTCCTTCACTACCACGTGATTCGCTCACGTAATGCTCGATGGTGTTGCGAGTTTTCGAAGCAGTTACTTTGCCGGAGCGAGATTCGTCTCTAGGCATGCGCTCGCGCTCGGAATACTTACGTCGGATTTTCGAGTGCCGATACCCAAAGCCCGGGGATGGGCAAATAATTGAATTTAGATTGAAGGGTTGTTTCGTGACGGCGCGCAACGCGCGGTATCGTCTCTCGAAGTTTGCGTCTCGCTTCGTCGATTAATTTGCGGGGCTTCTCGTGCGCGCGCGCATTTAATCCTCTCTCCTCGCAGAAAGAGGGGTTCTTACTTACCGTGTCTCGTAAGTCTTCGACGAAAAAACACACTTGGATAATTTTGCGACGCGCTCTTCTCCCTTTTGCCCATTACGGATCGCTTAGTTATCCCCGCTCAAGAGCGCGGGAAAGACCGTTTGATTATGCAAAGCTGCGATTACAGTTGATGACGATGAGAGGTAACGATTTAAAGCGTTTTTGCCAAGGTTTCGGCATTTGCGTATTATTTACAAATTGTATTTACGAACGCGAAGCTTCTCGATCGTCTCGACAGGCGGATAAAAATTAGCTTGATAAATTTCTTTGCTAAATTTCTCGTTTAAATCTCAACGAGTTCAATGACCGTTTCTCATGTTCTCGCTGATTGCTTTGTAGTACATTATCCCGGCTGGCTTTTCATAGAAGAAGGAAGTTCACGGCGTTGAACATTACAGATGACGAGACGCGATACGCCGTGACCGCGTGTTTAATGTGCGGTGCGAGTTGCGCAAGTCCCGAATGAGCCTCGATTTCTATACGCGTCGCTCGTATGTACGCTGTATAAAAAAAAAAAAAAAGCTCTTCGGGGAAGAAGAAAAAAATGCCTTCTAGCGGTTTTCTTCGTTTTGGAAGCCGTGAAAACGCGTATTCTTTGCGTCATAACAAAAGAGAAAGCGGCGAAGCCGGGTGTTCGTTTCTACGTTTTTAGATTGCGGACTGCGTTCGCGAGACAACGCGTCGCGAGTATTTACGGAGCCCGACGTGCGCCATGAATTATTAATGTTCACCTCGGTACAATCGCGCACGTCCGAGATACATCGGTCTAAATAAAGCATTTTTCATATCGCGTAAATTACGCGCTCCCTTCCTCCTCTCCCGCTATCCTAACCCCCGTGATGCATTCTCTCCGGATGAAATACGCCCTGTGCATCGATGTAATTACGGAGCTGCGCGTCCGAAAATATGCGTGACATTAACGAGAATTCAGTCTGCTATTTTACGGACCGGGATACTGAATTATTTCGCGTCTTGCTCTCTCTCTCTTTCTCTCTCTCTCTCTCTCTCTCACACACCCTTTAGGAATTATTTACATACTTTTCCAAAATGTTCTTTCGAGCGAGGTTGAAGTTTTATCCAACTATATCAAGTTTCAATAAAGAAAAGCGAAGTTGGCGTTCTTTGCACCTCTCTATAATTTTCTACATTTATTATTAAATTTGATGTTTCGACGGAATCGAGTATTGCATCGAATATAACTAAAATCGAATTACACAAAAACTTAGTAACATAATGCCCATCTTTTATGTCACGTATAAATAGAATTTTCAGTCGGAATTGTAGCGATCGAATATTGACACAAATACGATACACATAATTTATTTAAATTTCGAGAATTGAAGGTTTTTACTTATTCACAAGACACGGAACGAAGTTACCGAACCTGATATATTATTTTCATATTCACGTAATACCGATGTATTATTCCTCACATGTCACATATCGCACGGGACATTTTGTTTCACAAGATCTCTCGATGATATTTTTGGAAAATAAAAACATCGACATATGAAATAATGCGAACTGTAAATTAAAAGGAAGCGATTCAAAAAAAGAGCCAAATGGTCCACAGTTGGCGGTGAATTATCAAATAATAATTTTGCGGGTTACAATACTCTGACGAAACATTTTGCCGATGAATATTTTTTGTAAAGCTGTTAACGCAAATAGAACTGCAAAGACAATGATGGCTGTTAACATTGCCTGCCGCAGGACACACGGTACATTATCGCAGCGGAAAGGTGCTGCAATTAAAAACACTATCGATCACCCTCATTCCCATCGACTGCGTGATTTATAGGGGCGTAATTGTACTTGTGAGCATCGAAGCCGAAAGCTCGCGCGTATCGCGCATTGCGCGTGCAAATCGAGCCGAGTCAGGGGTCGACCCATTGAAATCCCCGAAGAGCAGCCAGGCGCAATTTTGTCGTGCGATTAATGACGATCGCAATAATAAATGGATCGTGTTATTTAGTTTAAAAGGTAGCGAGAAGTTTCAAGACGAGAACCGCGCTTTTCTTCGAATCGCTTTTTCGGTCCGAAAGTCTGACTCGCAAACAGAGTTTTGCACACACGAAGCGATTGACGGCTCGCCAGCAGACGCTCAGTGATTTTTAACAATACACCAGTTCACATTTCAACTGTTGCAGTAGCCAAAATTTACGAGTTGGGTTTCGAATTGCCGCCTCGTCCTTATTTGCATGTGCGCGATTTCCATTTTTTTTCGAAAATTTAAAAAAACAATTTGGAAAGAAACTTTCGAGCAACAATAAAGTCGATCATCGATGCCATAAATAGAGCTGTATTTTGACAAAAACCGTCGCACAAACATTACGTGCGATGATAAATCAGCGTTTAAAATTTGTTTCTTTTTGAAAGATGAAACTTGTCAACAACAGCAACGAGATACCTGTCTGCAAATATACTCGTTTCGGGTACTTACCAATCGCCCCTCGTATCATCGCTGTTGAGATTGCTCGTAACAGTTTTGCTCTTAATTATTCTCGTGATATTGTTCGTGAAACCGTTGGTCGGACACACTCGGTGCACGGCCACCGGCCCGTTTTAAGCGAGAAATGGAAAGCGAGAGGCACAGCTGCGACGACGCGGTGGGTGCGCTTAAGATGCACAAACGGCACAATTGGTCCGCGGCGGAGGTAAAGGGAGAAAGAGGCCGGCTTGCCATAACATGACACTAACTACTTGGATTTAAAGCGAGACAAAGCGCGTGTAACTCGAGCAGCCGGGAAATCTCGCGATTCCGGCGTTCCGTCTCGCCGGGACTCCACCTACACTCTAACCACGAATAGTTACCTCTATTCCCTTGTCTTCCCACACCGCAACGGAGCATCGTTGTGTACATATATATTGTGTATGTGCGCGAAAACGACTACGGTACAGGTTTCCGTGTGGCTGGCTGGACAAATTAAAGTTTCAACCGCTTGTCTACCTGTCCGTGCTCGCCTTTGAAATTTTCGCTAAAACGCTCGTAATTGCCTATTACGATATGGAAACGATATTATTGTATTCGCGTATTCTGCCGGTGGAATGCGGTGTAAATTAATTAAGATTATTCGAGTTACCGATGATTAAATTTTGTCTAGTTAAACAGATACGCTTGTTCTAGAAATTTACATACCGTTACGTGAATTGCGTAAATTTTTTTGTTGTTTTAACAGTTTCTCGTCTTGAATATCTATTCGAAAGCGTGCGATTATTTAATTACAGATTTGATGAAAATACGACGAGCTTTATCTCGAGTATCTTCCTTTTTATGTGACACCAAAGCGCTAACTCTATTAATTTAGTAGCTTCCTGCGCTCTCCTCTACGTGCTTTCAGTCGACGGCGTAATTTAGTTTTTCGTGATACTTAATTCCCTTTGCTTTCGAGACGCAATTTCTCTATTGCGTTTTTTCTTTTTCTTTTTTTGTTTGTTTGTTTTTTTTTTTTTTTTTTTACGGAAAAGAAGAGGCGAACGAAAACGCGCGCAAAGAAACGCGTACTTTCGCGTATTTTTCCCCACGAGTAAATTCTCACGATCGGCGACGACGACGTCATTTATCGAGGCTTTTTTTTCTCTCTCCCGTTCTTCTTCGTATCGTCGGGCTAAAGAGGAAGCGCAGCGGCCGTGTAATTGTCATCAGACATCCAGGCGCCGCGAATGGCGAAATTAAATTTTTCTCTTCTCAGGCATTCGACTCTCGAGACGCACGCCGCCGGTCTTAAAACGAGCATCGCTGCTTTCCCCGTTTTTTTTCTTCTTACTTGCTTTTTTTGCCATCCCCCAACGGAAGATGTCCGGCTGGTTCTCTTCATGACTAGCGGGACGCTCGTAATTGCGATCGTTAAAAAAATTTACTTCCGAGGTACGTAAATGCGACGTGCCTTCGTGTCTTTACCTAATTATAATAACTTCTTCTGAGAGACGCGAGATAAAAAGGAAAAGGTTATGCGAGATTTTCCCGACCTTAAAAGGAAGATTAGCAGCACCCTCTTTGGAGACGATGGATTCCGAAAGGATAAAATTTACTTTATACGAGAGGAGCTCGCGCACGCGATAAAGGTCCGGCTACCTCTTTCACGTCCTATTCGCCTTGGTGTTCTCCTTCTTCTCTCCTTACTTCAAAAGACAAGAACATCTCAGGAAGAAGGAAGAGAGGGAGGGAGTGTTTATCCCGTGGGACAGAGTCAATGTTTGCTTGAATCGGTCCGGACTCCCACGAAGAGGAATCACCTGCTGAAATTAGCGAGTCAGATCAAGGAAGCGTGTCCCATGAGATTCGCGCGTTCCCCCCTCCTCCCCCCTCCCAAATTTCCGAGGTCGAGGGAACAAGCAAAGTCAATCAAGAATTCTTAACGGGAACTTTCGCGAGCAGCTCAGAGACAAGCCGTTCAAACTTATTCTATGATCTTAAGAGGAACGATATCTTTCCAACGACGTGATTCTTACCGTTCGACTTCGCTAATGCCATCATTACCGGGAATAGCGCTCACGTACTTTTCCACGCGACGAGCGCAAGGGAGAGAAAAGAGTACGGGAAAAAGGTGTCTCTGCGAAAAATATCGGCCTCTTCCCCTGCGTCATACGTCAAAGGATCCGGGTTCGATAACCTGAACCTGAACCATCATAAATCCTTGAACGACTTCTCTCATCGAAGCCAGCCAGCCGTTCTCCAATCATGACGTCCACTTGTCACCGCCGATTCTAATTGCATCGAAATCTGTTATTGTCAGCCGGCGAGACCGTTACTGTCTCGATTGTCGAGAATTCCAGATAAATAATTACACGACACAAAAAATCAATAATTTGAAGAAAATAATAGTTTTTCTTAAATCACTTTGGTTAATCTTTAGAAGGCCGGCATGTTTTTTCTTTAAATCTTGTATGTTTAAACTTAATATTCAAAACTTGTGTAGATATATAACGTACGTTTTATATAAAATTATCGTGGTTAGGTTAAGTCTCCCTCAAACAGGAAGAAACAACTGAAAGTTGTCTAACATAAAAAATGAAATGTTTATAAAGATTTTTTAAATCGCTGATTACAAGGATTTGTTTTCCTTTGTTTTATATCATTGGACCCCAACTAAACCTCGGCAGATACAGGAATATAAAATTTTTTTTAGCGTTATTCAGAGCTAACGAGGTAAATGTAGAAAACTTTTTTAGCCTCTTCATTTTTTGTTTTTTACCTAGCATAACAGGTGCGCGCTACGCGCACGCTATTATTGTTTTTATTTTAACGTGTAGTGTCAGTGAACACAACCTGTCACCACGACAGCTAGTATATACGTCTTACAAACCATATAATACACATTAGAGAGATGTCAAAAATAACGCATAAAAATCAAATTCGAAAAATAAAAGAAAAAGGGAAGAACGGAAAAACAACACGTGACAGGGAAAACAGTAAAAAGAAGAATATTATATATATTATATATAATATTCTATATCTCTATACACAATAATGCACACACACACACACACACACACACACGTATATATATACCGTAATGACGTGACCAAAGTCAGTGACTTCGCCACGATCACGTGACCGAGGTCAGTGACTCCGCCAGGGTTGAAATACGTGCACAAACGGATATATATATATAATTTAAAAGATAGTCAAATAGTTATTTGAGCCATTCTAATGGCTTCTTCGGCTTTCTAAAGTTTAAATATGTACTTTTAGTTATTAAATATCACTGCGTGCTTAATAATCGACGAAACAATTTTCTAGAAAATTGTTAGTAGAATATATTTTATGTATTAGATATGTAATATATTAGAAAAATTGATTTCTAATATGTTAAGGTATATTAGAAAAAAGTTTTCCGGTCGATTTCTTTTTCGGCAAAGAAGAATTCGAGGCTATTCGTTTAGTGAAAACTGCTTTTGTCGATTATCAAATTCTACCGTCTTTCACCCACCGTAAATTTCGTTCCCACGTGTTTTTGCGCGCCCGTCTCTTTGTCCGCGTAATCTTGGCTTCCGCGGATGCAACCAAACCTGGCACAAAGCCCGAGATATCGCCGTGGAGCCCGGCCTTATCTGTCGTGGCTCAAAATACACGTCACGCTAAGGGCAACAAAAAACCCAAGAAGCAAGTGCACAATGTGCGCACGTGTGTTTCGTCTACGTTGCGCAACCGGAACGCTCTCTCCTGCCCCCCGTGTGAACGCGACTTCCGCGCTTTTACAAACGCGAACCCTCTCGATTAACCCTTATCCGGACAACCGGAGCACAAATTGCTTTTATCTCCGCAAATAAAGGAAAAGCATCGGGCTATCGGTTATTTTATTCGTTTGTTCATTACTTCCGATTACGGGGCAATCAAGAGGTTCAATGAAATCCGCGGCTTGCGGCGAAGAAAGAAGAGAGGTTGTTAGACAAATACTTGATAAATCCGAAAATTGCTTTTAAATCCAATTAATTAATAGATAATTGACAAGTAAACCAACACAGCAAAAAATTGTTCTCGAACAACACATTTTCTTTACAAATTTGATATATTTGATTGTTCGTGACTATATATGTATGTTGCTAATAGACTCGCGTTTGAAATTCGATAGATTAACAACGGCGATAACTGCCAAATCGATATCGATTGTCGATAGATTCGGAGGTTACTGTACGTTTTTACCTTACCAGAGCCAAGCAGAAAAAATAAAGCGTCGAAACACTCATGATCTCCGAGTAAGTGCTGCTAAATTTTTCATTCCGCGAAATCGACACGTAAATGTATAGTCACTTATATTGTTATAGAGCGTAGTCAAGTTATTGACGCACGAAACTCGAGAATCGAGTCATTTTAACCAACTAGTTCGCACATTAATAATAGTAAATATTTTAACGTATTTGCTCTCTCTCTCTCTCAAGTTGTGAGATTTACGTATGTGTGTCATGGTTTAATTATTAGAAGATTGTTAGTGCGATTCGCTTCCGCAAGAAGTAATTTTCAAGATGATCCATATCCGTGTAATTCCGACGCGGAACCAACTTCCTGCAAATTTAGCGGTCCCTTTGTTTAACGAGTTAAATGGGAATATTCGCCGCTCCTACTTCAGCAAGATAAATTGATCACTCAATTATAAAAGCTCTTTAAGCATTTTCCATTGTTTTATTCTTTGAGTATTTATCACTTAAAACTTTTGTCGCGTTTGCGATATTTTACACACTGGAATTTTTCATATATTTCACAATTTTTCTTCTTCTCGCGCTCGCTTACGGGGTTGTGTTTTATATATCAAAACAATTTCAACTTGAGTTGTTATCTCACATTCAGTCGATTTCTTCGAGAGTTTCTTCACGTCTTCTTGACTTCTCTTCAAGGATAACACAAAAGAAAAGCAAAGATCTCGGCGAAACTTGGGCAAGAGCGAGAAATTTGATCCTCGAACCGTTACTTTTACGGTTTACCGCGCGTATTATCGGATCATCGGCCAATAAGGTCCCCGACAACCCCCCGCGGCCACGACGTTAATTACAGCTCGATAATCCTTCTTTCGTGCGAGCGCGCGGCGAGGCGAGAGGGAGGCGGCTGCTGCCAGAGATCACGTACAAAGTATATCCTCGGAGACGAGTGCGAATTAAGAATTAGGGAACAGGATGATATCTTACGCCCTGTGATGATCCCTGATGATGAAGGGGAGATCCTTGCCTTCTCTCATTGGGAAGCATCTGTCGAACTTACCAGCTTCTCTCGAATACGAAGAGAGCCTGAGGGCCTCAGATAAGATTAGATTTATCGCGTGTTTTAGAGACAAAATTATATCAAGATATTTGTGGGGATCTCTGAGTTTTTTTTTTTTTTTATATATTGTGCGTGGAAGCGTCTATTTTGTTTGAAATAGCAATTGGATATTATTTAATATTGAACATACATTTAATATTCAATGTCAGAGAGGGTTGCACGATTGCGCGTTCTTATATTAAACATAAGAATGCCGTGTGTCTTATACAACGTTTCTTCTTCTTTATGAAACAATCTTTTTGAAGGTAGAAAAAAATTTAATATCACGACTATATTTTATTTTTCTACATACATGTACAAGTACATGTGAGATTCTTTCTGAAATAAAAGTCTTTGACATCGGAAATGATAATGGATGATATCAGACGTAAATCGAATATCTGGCGGGAAAAAATTAGGGGCAATTTTCACTTCGTTAGAAAGGCCAAGGGCCGATCTCTCTCTCTCTCTCTCTTCTCTGCGTTTTCACCCCCTCCCCTTTCACGGTACACCAAATCCCCGAGGGAGATTCGCGGCGCGCCTTTTCCCTCTTCCCTCGTGTTCCATCCCCCTTCGTCACTGTCTGTCTCTCTTTCGAATTATATCCTTTGAATCTACAATTATGGGGCGCCGCGGGCATGCGGGACACGTTTTCGCGAAAGTTTGCGCGCCGAATACTAAAGCCGCGTAGCAAACAGGATCAATACCTCGCGTCGCAGGAAGAAGGCACACGACGACAGTCCTTGGTGATATGCTGTGTGTCCTTTGGTTGGCCGCCCGGTCGTTTTATCTATCCGTCCGTCCGTTCGTTCTTCCTTCCTTCCTTCCTTCCTTCCTTGCGACGCGAGGTCTTAAGAGGACAACACTCCCCTCCCGTCGTAAAGAACGCAGGGATATCGTTTCGCGAAGGCCTCTTATACGGTTCGCATTTCTAGGAAGGGATCTTGGCTCCCCCTTTATGTTCTCGAAGAAGATAGAGCAAGCGTCGTAATGCAATTGCGCATTATGTCAGAAATAGATTATATATTACGGTTGAGAAGAAATACAAGTCGGTTTTCGATTACAAAGGGAAAATACACATTGACATTGTTTGCAAAGACACTGTATATAATATCAGATTTCGAAGTTACGTAGTGTACGTGTTCACAGCTGTGAAGTTAAGCTAAATATACGCATACACACATACATCATCGGTGTCCCATAAAACATCCGGAGCAAATCCAGATTCGTTCTTACTCGCAGTATTCCAGAGTGTTAAAAATAGCCGTCCTTGGTCCCAAAAGCACTTCGCTTTACCGCAACATCTTCCTATCAGCGCGCGACATCGACCACTTGTCGTCGCCTCGGAGCGTTCTTAGAGATTATTCGTCGTTCGCTTTGACGGAAACTCTTACACTCTTCGTCCGACGCAATTCATCTCGCGTGTTTTTTTCCATTAAATATCTTAGGGGTCGCCGCGAACGTTAACCCCTTTCCGCGTCCAGGATGTTTGCGACGAAGTTGCAATCGAGCGTGATCTCCCACGAAAGACGTAAACAAGATTCTTGATCGATCGATACGATGTAATCTATTTATACACGGAGCTGGATGTTTCTTGCAGATTGCGAGAGTTTCGTGAAAAGATCAAATTTACAAATCTGAACATTTTATGAATAATATTCTGCTGTAAACATGGAATAAAGAATTAGATAATATTCTAATAAAATTTTATTGTTTCTTTGTTGCAGGTAAGTCGTTGGGTCTTTTTTCTTGGGAAAATGCTGATTTTATGGCTTGTTGCGCGGTAACACAAATATTTCAATATATTACAAATAATACAAACATATAAAATAAACTTCCGAGCAGTCGCAAATGTTGGGGCAATATTTGTTGTTTGTTTTGAATTTAAATATTTTGATTCTGATTTGATTGGATCTTTAAACAAAAATATAAAACTTTAGAAAACATAAATGTTGTTTAAAAGAGTTATAAGTCAAACAGAAAAAAGGCGGATAAGGTCAACGGAAACGATTATACATAAATATCGAGTGAAACTCGTTGTGAAACAAGTAATACAAACAAATAGAATAATAGAAAGATGTGGCTATTAAGTAACAAGAGACACTTGACAGTTATAACATTTTTTTCTTTAAATATATATTTTAAGTTTTATTCACACTTTTCCCTTGTGCGCGTACGCGCGCACTGGCAACATACTACATTTGT